ACCATCAGAAGGAGGGTCTATATGCCATGTGGGAAAAGGGGGCAAAGGAAATGGTAAGGCTAACAATCCCTATCAAATGCACAGTTTTCAAAGCATTTCCACATGCATAATAATAGCAACCATTCATCGAGTCCTAGCTAGGTGCTGCAGGCTTTACATTCATTATCTCATTTAATCCACACAAAACTATTAAGAGAGGTATTATAATGCCCAGTTTTTACCAAAGGTGAACAAGTTAAGGAACAGGCCGCAGTGGGAGAACCAGGATTTAGAATCAATGTTTGCCTCCCAAACCAACCCTCTTTCTGTTGTACTATCCTCTTTTATTGCACACATGCTCTATCAAGTTGACTGTGAGCTCCATGAAGATAGGGTCTGAGTATCTACCTGTCTTGTTCATCACTGCATCTGTGATCAATAAATATTTGTTGAATGAGTGAATGGAACAAATGAGGCCTAGAGAGACTAAGCAATTTATCCAAGATCACACAGCCGCTACTTGGCAGGACCAGGTTCTCTGATTCCAAATCGTATACACATAAACTGATTAAGGTCCTACAGCATACTGAGCTATATGTGTATCTTGGGTTGGGACTAGGGGGAGAGATGTAGGAAAAACAAGTGAAAAACAGAGGAATTGTTTTGTATAAATGCAGAGATCCTTCATGAGTGAAGGACAATCTAAAGACTATGCCTAGAAAAGGTCAATTTGGAGCAGTCAGGAAGAAGATGAAAGATCTGAACTGAAGATGATACGGTAAAGCATTACTGCATTGGGGAATGGTCTGTGAAAAGACTAAAGTAAATTGTATTCAGGGGAATAGAGCCAGCCCCCAAATACCATGCCATCAGTCACAAGGTTATGTGGGCACATGCCAATGGCAGCTTTGTCTATTAATTGAAGCAGAATAAGTGATTCCATGTGGTGAAAGACTTCTGAGCCAAATCGGCAGAGATTCTGCTTCCCTGAAGCTGAACTATCTGCCAAACTCTCCCAAAGTACTGGCTGGACACCCAGACTGGAAATGAGAAACTCAAGAATAAAAGAAGGACTGTGGTGGGAGGTAGGGAGGTTGGAAGAGAAAATTGTTGGAAAGTCTAAATCCTGACTGATCTTTGTCAGTATAATCCCCTTATTCCCTCATCCTTTCTAAGGAAATGAAAAAGTTTTTACAGAATACTCAGTTTAGACCAGAGCCCCTCCAGGTAACAGATAAGAAAAAGGGTATGCTCCTCTACAATATTAATAAACACCTGAAAGTTTCTCAGAAGAATTGTTCAGATTTAGGGTGACCACTCCTGGCTACTCCTATGCCCAGAGGCAAAAACCTTCCCTTGGTCTCAACTTAAAGAGACCCGAAACAACAGGACAATAGCTGATGGCAATTCCATTACATAGCCTTGTTAAATCTAGGAATTAAACTTGAAAAACAATTATATTCCCTCATGATGAATTTCAGGCTCATATGCATTTGTATTCCCAGCACCTAGCAAGGTGCCTGCCCCATCGTAGGAGTTCAAATTATTGAAAAACAAAGGAAAATTGCTGGTAAATTTATCATTGGCATATATAACAAAATGAATCTAAAATCTATTTTCATAGAAATCTCCGTGTTTACACTGTTAGGATTCAACAGTGGGAGAAAATAAGACATGTTCTTCTCAAAGAAATATGAACCAGTACACTTGAGAGCGTATTTGTCATTTTTTTAGTACCCGTTATGTGTCAGGTGCAACATCTCACTTAATCCACATCATAATTCTTGAGGAAACTGAAGCTCAGTGAGGTTAAGTGGCTTCCGCAAAGACATAGCTGGCAAGTGACAGAGATTTAATCTGGGATTTAATCCAGACTTGTCTGACTCTAAAGCCTGTGTGTGCTCTTTTCACTACACTTTTTCAGGGAGGAAAAAAAAGTCCTTACTATCTATATTGAAAGCCTCATAACCCTTCTCTGTATTATTGGTAAACTAGAAAGTTAAAGATACAGTCACTTCCAGGTCAGGCAGGACCTGGCCAAGCAGAGAGAAGTGATGTCTCAGAAATTCCAGACCTGAATTCTGTATCTCACAGCCCTCACTATATATTCCTTGTTATACTACAGATCTGGAACTCAAACTCTGGAAATTCTGCACTGGTTAAACAAAAACAACAAAGAAAATCCTCACATCCCCCTTCTCAGAAACCCTAGAAATTAGGCATCTTTCAGATGAAGATTTCTAATGGAAGGGTTTCTGCCTGGCTCATTTCCACTGAATTTAACACTGAGAGAGCCAAGGCCTGGGATTTATCCTTAGTTCCTGGGCAAGGGCCAGGAAAACAGAGTCAGACAGAGAGGCTGGAGTCGTGAGGCTCCATACTAAAACAGACACCAAAGTGAGATGCTAAGCTGGTGTGGACTCAATGGTATGGGTCCAGATTTACAAGCACCATTATAAGTGACTTGTGAAAGCACTGCCTAATTTCCCAGCAAATCTGAAGTTGCATTGGAAATTTCAGAGTGACATAAGTAAGAAAAGAATTTAAAAGTCAAGGTTAAGGAGATGGAGTAAATTAGCAGGGAGCCAGGAATTGCTGAGATCACAGAAGATTGAGAGGGTATGGTTGAGAAATGTCTTGGATCTGAGATAAAGGATAGGATCCCACACAATGGGGCCTGGTCCCCAAAGGGAGAAAGATGTTAAGGCATTAAGATACAGGAGGAATTTCATTCCTGAAGGGGAAAACATTGGGAAGAAAAGAGGGTTATATCTGTAAAAAAAGGATCCCTGGCGAATATAATAGTAACTCAATAAAGGGGAAGGGTGGGAGGCTTAAACATGAATATGAATATGAATGTGTGTGTGTGTGTGTGTGTGTGTGTGTGTGTGTGTGTGTGTGTGTGTGTCCCAAAAGGAAATTCCCCAAAAGGAAATGCAATGTGAGGGCTCTGCGCCAGGAAAAGCGATCCAGAGGACTGTGGGAGCAAAACTCCCTTACAGAGGGTGTCCCGCAGGAGGCCAGACCCGCAGACTCACCTCGGCCATAGCCCTGCGTGTGCTTGGCGAAGCTCCTCACCACGGCCTCCACGGCCTCCCGCAGCACCGCGGGGCTGCCAGCAGCGCCGGGGGGCAGCGGCAGCCCCGCGGCCCCAGAAAGGAGCAGCGGCGGCGGGGGCGGG